TCAGCTTCAGCTTGAACTTGCATGTGCGTAGTTGGTGGTCTGTTCCACAGTCAGCCCCTGGCCTAGTTTTCACAGCTGATATTGTCAAAATTATGTCAAAATTTCATAAATTGTATACTTTAAATATGCATAGCTTATTATTTGTAAATGATACCACAGTAACACTTAAAAGTCTGGAAAGTAAGTTTTGGAACATTCGTCTTGAGCATTATTTCTACACATTATGACTACAAAGTGGGAAAAAAAACAGAGGTTGGAGTAATTTAAGTGTTAATTATAATTCTGGAATATACTGATCCATATCTAAATATCAATTTTAATTTGTTTTTCAGGCAACTACCCTGAGAGTGAGGAAATTAGAGGAAAATATTGAAGCAGAAAGAGCAGCACATTTAGAATCAAAATTTAATTCTGAAATTATTCAGGTAAAATAGAAATAACTTGTGAAATGGGTTTCCTGAGTAGTGTTAGAACATCTGAGAAAAACAGCATGATGTTCAGATGACAAGGTGTGCAGGACGTGTCTCTCAGTACTCATTGTGAGAATGGAGTTGAGCATTAGTGTTGTGTTTACCGTGTAAGCTGTGGCGTGTTCAGGATACAGTGTCTGATACGGTAGACCAGGGACTGGCCCGCTGCTGCCCATGGACTGAATCCTGCATCCTGCCTGTTCTTACAAAGTTTGTACTACAGAGCCAGAGTGGAGAAGCTGTGACGACGACCTTAGGGCCTTGAAGCTTAAACTGCTTACCATCTGGCCATATACAGAAGAAGAATTGCCACGCATAGTGTTCTTTTAATTAGTAATCATGCAATGAATTTCTTTTGTGAACATTTCAAAGTGTACCTTCATTTATTGCTTGTATATAACCTGTGTACCCACCTATCATTGCATTAAGAGTTGTAGGTGAAGGCAAGGGGGTGCCCTTTTGGAACTTGGATTGATCATCAGAAATCCGTGTATATGTCCGTACTTATATGTGCATATGTGTATTGATCTGTATTGATTGATCCATTGATACAGATTGGAAGCTGTAGGTGGAAACACAGAATCCTAAAAAAGTTATGTGAGCATAAGGAAGAGAGGAACTAACTTTGGGAAGGGAATGTAAAGGGCTGTCCTCTACAAAATTGTCCTTTTCCTAGGTCTTAGAGAATAAGGAGGTGTTTCTGAGAAAAATAAAGGCCCCCAAAATTAGCAAAGTATTTCCTGTGGCTCAATCTGTATATGAAATTATTAAATATGTACAAGCTACTCATAATTTAAAACTAATATTTGATACCTAACTTAGTGTTATTTGAAGAAAAGCAATAATTTATATTTGAGCTATAAGTGAAAAAAAGACCCCTCAGACTTAATGCCGTGGAGTCAGTTCTGACGTAGAGTGACCCTTGTTTAGGTTTTGAGACTGTAAGTCTCAGTGGGGAGACTGGCCCCTTTCTCTGGATGAGGATCACTGAGCTCTCGGTTGGCAGTGCTACACCTGACACTAGACCAGGCCACCACAGCCTCCTATTTGAACTGTGTTGTTGTTGTTGTTAGCTGCTGTTGAGTATGACTCCTCGTGACCCTGTGCACAACAGGTCTGAACTCTCTCCTATCCGACTTCACAATCTCTTGAGACACTGGAACCCACTGTTGCAATCACTATGCCAGTCCACCTGGCTGACGGTCTTCCTCTCCTTTGCTATCCCCTCGTCTTTCCAAGCAGGATGTCCTTCTCCAAGGAATAGCCTCCCCTAGCAACATGCCCAAAGCATGTGAGATGAAGCTTCATCCGCCTCGGGGGCACTCTGGCTGGACTTTCCTCAGTCTATATCTTTTTGTTCTTTGGGCAGCCCGAGGGATACTCAGTGCTTGTGTTCTGTACCACAGTAGAAATGCATCAGTTTGAACCATAGACCTATAAATATTGACATGTATTTTATTGTTACGTATTGTGAAGTTGGGACTAATGCATATAACTGACCCTTCAGTGGGTTTTCAGAGCAGTACATTGCATGCGAGGAGATTGCTCGTCTTTCTCTTGTGTAGCCGCTGGTGTATTTGAACAGCCAGCCTGTCGGTCGGCACTGCATTTCCTTACCACTAAGCTACCAGGGCTCGAGGACTTTCCCGTTAGGTGGTTTCAGTTCTTCACCATGTGTTATGAGCTACTTCTAGATCTGTATTTGAAGTATTAGATTATGAAATCCAATGGGATACCATGGTCTAAAAAGGAGAAAGTAGAATCTAAAGCTAAAGACTGAACTCAAGTCTTACGTTTCTTTCAATTAGATTGATTTATCTTTTGTGGGTATGTTTATTTTCCGAAAGGGAAAGTTGATAGCAGTGTAGTCAGAAGAAAATACTGCATTTAGACAAAACAACAAAGATCAGTAGAGTTTAAAAGGCCATAAATGGAAAATTTAAATCCGGTTGTACCTGCCTGTCTGTTCTACTTCCTTATTTTAGTGTTAGAATAAAATGCTTCAATAGTATTCTAATTTTTTTTTTTTTATAAATAGGAAAAAACCATTCTGATTATCATCAGCATATATTAACTTAGGAAGCATTTTCGCATTGTGCTTTGTATTCCTTGTGCTTTGCTGCACAGTTTTCCATCTTGCTGAGTTCATCTCGTGACGTTCAGTTTGCCTTTCACCTTCCCTGTGAGATCTGCGTTCAAGCGGACTGTGTCTCTGAGGCCTGTTGGATTTGCTGCTGTCACGGGGGGCACTCCCCACGTTTTTGGTGGTCCCCCTCTTCTACAGCCCACAAATCCTTGAGAACTGAGCCTGCACTCTCATGATGATTGTGTGTGCCATGAACACTGACACAGGGCATTGCCTCACAAATAGAAAATACTGAATTAGTATTTATGAAATAAAGCTTGCCCTTTGCTCCTTCATGTAACTGTGAAATAGTCTAGGTTCATGTAACTGTGAAATAGTCTAGGTATTACTTCTCTAGACTGTTTACGGAGGAAGAGGAGCTCAGTGATGTGCTCAAAGTCACAGCTTTTTATCGGAAATATTACAGTTTCCTCCTTTTTTATAATTTCAGCAAACAGTATTTATTTTACTTTTAACCTAATTTTCTTAAAAAGTAAAACATTGACATAGTTAAGAAATTGAAACAATACTAAAAAATTGGAAATTCTTGGCTTTATGCTTATTCTCTCACTTTTCACACCCTTATTTTCCCACTTATCAAATGCAACATTCTATACACACTGTTTTGACCTTGCTATTTTCAACTTGATAATACATCCTGGAGCTTTTTCCCTTTAAAAATGGTTTGGTTATGTATTGTTATTTTGTAGGTATGGTCTAGTTAGTGGTGAGGAGTTGTGCTGCCAATCCAAAGGCACACAGTTCAAACCCACCAGCTGCTCTCCGGGACAAGGATGTGCAGTCTCTTATATTTTACAGCCTCTGAAAACTTACTGGAGGGTCAGCTATGAATCTGTTCTGATTTGGCTGCACATAATACCAACAGCAACAATATTTTATTCTACTGTTGATGGTGACAATCAAGTCTTTGAAATAAAAATTTTATGTAATGTAAAAGTTCTATAAATTTTAGTTATGTAAACTTTAAAGCATATTTGAAAGTGGAGGAGAGAGTGAAATAAACCCCTCATGAATACATTACCCAGTTTTAACTCTTAAATCTAGTCTAACTGTATTGTTTTATCTATTAAAATATTTGGCCTTCTATTTAAAAACCCATTTGGGCTCTCGGGCCTGGTTTAAATTGTTTTTTTGTCAAACATTCTTCTAAGTGTTATAGCGCTGGTCTGTGTACTTGCTGTACAGAGGTAACTCGTGGTTGCTGTGATGCTAAACACTGTGAGACTGATTTGTCAAATGTAATAATTACCCAAGGTGAACAGTGTTTGGTGGAGCTTCCCGATTAAAACAAGCTTGGAAGCAGGAGTGGCATCCACTTCTGAAATGGCTTGCCTCCAGAAACTCTATGAACATGGAGAAATGACCAAAGTTATATTAAGTGTTCAGGTCTTTTGTTCATAGGGTCAACAACAACAACAACAACAACAACAACAATTATAACATTAGCTGCTCCACTGATTTTTTTCTCGAGCAAATCCTAAACGTATCACTACAGCTATAAATAATTTAGTCAATTTTTTAAAATAAAAATGCAATTTTTCTACAGTGAGATATCTCTAACAATAAAAAGACCTGTTAGCTTTTTTTTAGATTTGCAAATATATTCAGGTATTGATGAGTCTAAAGAATACTTCTAATTACTTGGCAAAAACTAATTTTTCATATTTTATGAAAGCTGTTTAGATAGATGCCTTGGTGTAGGATAGGTCGAATAGAATCAGCCTATTTTTTCCCCATATTCCAGCTAACTGGTCGTTGTACCCTCCCCTCTGGCTTAGTCGGTAGGGAGCTGTGTTGTGGACCCAAAGCTAATACCTGCCTGTTGGTGTGAATGCCCCAGTGACTCCACAGGAGAGACGCCTCCTGTGTGATTTACAGCCTTGGAAACCCAATGGAGGGTTAGCAGTGAGTCAGCAATTGTATTAACATACTGAGAAAGAAGATCACCTGCCTTTTGCTTATTTTCCTTTTTAAATTGACACAGAAAAAGAATCATTTAAATGAATGGTAGCCTGCTGTTGAGAAAGTATTCTATTCAATTTACTATGGATGCTCGTATCTCTTCGATTGCTTTAATTACTTTACTGTCATCTGGTAGTTACGAATTCGAGACCTTGAAGGAGCTTTACAAGTAGAAAAGGCCAGCCAAGCAGAAGCTGTTGCTGATTTGGAAATGATAAAAAATGAATTCAAAGAAGTTGAAAGTGCATATGAGCGAGAAAAGCGTAATGCCCAAGAGAGCTTTGCAAAACTAAGTATGTAAGTATGTGTCTGTAAAAGTCTCTAACTTAATATCAAGATTTTTTTAAAATTATATAACTATGAATGTGGAGAATTTTTAGATACAGCTTCTGATAATATCAGTGGTAGATTGGGGATAAAGAACCTTACAAAATTTTGCCATAGTATTCTACTTCCCTGAATAGATAAATGAGATAATGCTTTTTTAGATTTTAAAGCATAATGGGTATTTTTTTTGTCTCAGAATTGCAAGTTTTTACTAGAAAGTAACTATGTTAATGTCTTTTGTATTCTGTTTACTGATACAATGTAGTGCATTTAAATACTTTGATTTTAACGTCTGATAAAATGTTTATGTGGTCTTGAATGATGCTCGTGTTCTTTCCAAGCTGTAGAAGTAATATTGAGAGTAGAACTACTGTTGTTATTTGCTGTTAAGTTGCCTGTGATTCATAGTGACCCTATGTACAACAACCCTAAACCCTGCTCTATCTTGTGCCAGTCTGCTGTCTCTAACACATCTATCCTCATTACCCAGCCACTAAATCAATTCACCTCATTGAGGGTCTTCCTCTCCTGCGCTGTCCCTCTACCCTCCCAAGCATGACGTCCCTCTCCAAGGACTGGTCCCTCCTTGAAACATGCCCAAAGTATGTCAGACGAAGCTTCAGAATCCTTGCCTCCAGGGAGCAGCCTGGTTTCACCCTCTCCAGGATGAATCTGTTTGTTTTCCTAGCAGTCCATGGTATATTCAGCACTCTTCTCCAGCACCACAGCTCAAAGGCATCAATTCTCCTTCTGTCCTCCCTAGTCATTGTCCAACTCTCTGATGCATAGCAAGTGATTGCTAAGACCATGGCCTGTATCAGGCGCACCTTAGTCTACTGCTGTCTAATTCAAAGAAACAGAGGCTCCCCTTGACTTTCCTACCCTTGCCCCACTAGTGCTCTTTTGGAGGGGCTGTTGACAGAGTCAGAGGAGTCATCTTTGTTTGGTTGTACTAACTAACAGTGAGGATCTCTGGTGGCTTAGTGAGGAAGAAGATTTGAATGAATCATTTTAGGAATAATTATAAATACTGACCTCCAGTGGCCTAAGGGACAGGGAGCTGTACTGCCAACCCAAAGGCATGCAGTTTGAATCCACCAGAGTTGCTCCATCAGTTTCTGCCTGTGCTGTTTACTGCTTCAGAAATCCCACTGGCGGGTCAGCTGTTAGTTGGCTTTGACTTGAAGTTATATAACAACAACACAACAACTAACAGGCACTGGGCTCCACTTTTACAGAGCTCATTTTGCTCTTATAAAATAACATTAAAAAAAGCATTGAAAAACAGGTTGCTGTGATGCTAAACACTGTGACACTGATGTGCCAAATGCGATAATGGTTACCCATGGTGGACAGTGTTTGGTGGAGCTTCCCGATTGAAACAAGCCTGGAAGCAGGAGTGGTATCCACTTCCGAAATGGCTTGCCTCCAGAAACTCTATAAACAGTTCTCAGGTCTTTTGTTCATAGGGTCTCTATGAGTCGTCTATGACTCAATGGCACTTAACAACAACAACAATAATTACTTTTAATTAAAATTTTTCTTTTTATCACATCTAAAAAGTCAAATACTTATATTGTTTTGGGGTTTTTTTTTTAGCCTTAAGACAATGATTTTTATTACTTTCAGCCTTCTATATTTGATACTATAAATATACTATTGAAAAGTTGACAAAATATTTAAATAAGAATTGAGTTTGTGAAAATTTACAAAATACTACAAAAGTCCACTGGCTGGTAATCTTATCTTACATGTTGGAATTTTACTTTTCTAGGATCTAAACCGGAAGCAATTTATCAACTTTTCTATTATATAATTGCATATTATATAGCTCTTAAAATATTGAAAAAAGTATTATGAAAGTGGCATTCTACACTGCAGAAATTCCCTTTCTTTTAAGACACCTCATCAGAAGGCACACTTTAATTACCAGCATTTACCTCAATAACAGTTTTAAGTTTTATTGTTTTTATAGGTGTTGTCAACTCCAGTGCATAATGACCCTTATATACAACAGATCCAGACCTTGTCGGATCCTGGTCTTACCTCAGTCTCTGCTGTCTCCAGTCCATTGTTGCAGCTTTTTAACACTCCCATTTCACTGAGGGTCTTGCTCTCCTCCTCTGACCTTCCATCTTTTCAAGCATGATGCCCTTTTCCAGGGAGTGGACACTCCAGATAGCGTGTCCAAAGTATGTGTCTCTAAACAGAAAGTTTCACCATCTTTGCCTCTCAGGCATACTGTAGCTGCACTTCAAAACAAGTTGGTTTGTTCTTTTGACAATTCATGATATATTCAGTACCGTTCATTGTACCATGCATGATTCGAAGGCATCAGTTCTTTGACCTTCTTTGATCATTTCCCCAACTCTTACAAACATATGAAACAATTGAAAATGCCATGGCTTAAGTCAGGTGTACCTTACTCTTTAAACTGTCATCCTTGCTCTTCAGCACTTTATAGAGGTCCTTGATAGCAGATTTGCCAAGTGCAGCACTTCTTGATTTCTTGACTGCTGCTTCAGTAGGTATTGGTTGTGGAACTGAGGGTATTGTGAACAACTTATGTTCACATTATTGACAACCACTTTGGAGACAACCACTTTTGATTCTTGTCACTCTTCTGAAATTTGTTTTTTTTTAACTTGTGGTTTTGACAAACGTTTACAGAAAAGTTGGATTTTCTTTCCTTCATAAGATTTAATTTTGGATTTCTAAATAACATGCATATTCTGCAATCCTTACTTTGGCCTCTGCTTATTTCTTTCTGTGCCTTCTCTTATTCTGTAGAATTTTATATTTTGATTCCATATTTTTATTTTTCTAAAGTTCTGATTTATTTTTTAATATTGCCTTGATATTTAATGAAAATTATTATATTTTTCCTTATGTAGATACAAACTTTGTTATTTTACTTGCTATTTCCCCAGTGCCTGAAGTGGTACTTGACATATCTCAAACCAAAAAAACTAATTGCTGTCATGCTGCCTCTTAGAGAACCCCATGGGATAGAGTAGAACTGCCCTGTCAGGTCTCCAAGTCTGTAATCTTTACAGACGTGAGTTGCTACATCTTTTTTTGTGTGTGTGTGATGTGGCTACAGAATACAAACTACTGACCTTTAGGTTAGGAGATGAAGGCTTAATTTTTTACATTAGAGCTTAAAAAATTAAGAGGTAATATGCAAACCAATTAAAAACAGTGAAAAAATTAGAGGAACTAGGTCTACTCTATTGGAAAAATCAGAACTTAGATGAACAATAACGTACGAATTTAAGTTACAGTTAAATAGGAATTGTGTTTTTTTAGCACATTTGAAATTAAAATACTTCTGAGCAGCCTTTCATTATATATCTTTAAGTGAATGTAAACAGAGTTTAGGACCAGCTTGAGAAAAGTTTAAAGAGGAGGAAAGTTCTCTGAAAGGAAATGCGTATGTCTTCAAAGGGAATTGAATAGTTGTGGTGTTAAGGATATATTGTTCAAAATAGCTTTCCTAGCCACTGACTGACTTTGCCTGGATGTCTGGGAATTTGTGAGTAGGGCATGTTAGAACTATCCACAGGGATATTGCTCATCTCACCATTAAATTGATCATGTCCAGCAGCAGAATTTGAGAACCTCACCACCGGCAAAGAAGAAGTAAGAGAATGTAACACGTTCCATGGTGCCAGAGATTCTTGCACCAGTCAGCTCGGGGCATACAGAAGCAGCGTGGCCTAAGCAACCTCGGCAGAGACCTGATGTGAGATGGAGTGGACTTTGGCACCACTACCCCATGGAACCAGAACTAGAAGCCTTACCCCAATTTATTTGGACAACCTGGGGGAGGGAGTTGAAAAGCTATACGTAGCAGGAGTGATGCAGAACAGATCATCGTACAGCTGGGCTGTACGAGGAGGAATGTGGCATCAGGATTGGTGGAAGAATCATAAAAATCTGCGTTATGCAGATGAAAACTGAGGAGGACCTGAAGCGCTTGATGCAGAGGGTCAAGGA